AGTTGGGTAAGTGTTACACTGTCAGTTGGATAAGTGTTGTATTGTAGGTTGGATAAGTGTTGCATTGTCAGATGGATGTGTTGCATTGTCAGATGGATGTGTTACATTGCCAGATGGATAAGTGTTGCATTGTCAGTTGGATAAGTGTTGTATTGTAGGTTGGATAAGTGTTGCATTGTCAGATGGATGTGTTGCATTGTCAGATGGATGTGTTACATTGTCAGTTGGATAAGTGTTGTATTGTAGGTTGGATAAGTGTTGCATTGTCAGATGGATGTGTTGCATTGTCAGATGGATAAGTGTTACATTGCCAGTTGGATAAGTGTTGCATTGTCAGTTGGATAAGTGTTACATTGTCAGATGGATGAGTGTTACATTGTCAGTTGGATAAGTGTTGCATTGTCAGTTGGATAAGTGTTGCATTGTCAGTTGGATAAGTGTTGCATTGTCAGATGGGTAAGTGTTACATTGTCAGATGGATAAGTGTTTCATTGTCAGATGGATAAGTGTTGCCTTGTCAGATGGATATGTGTTACATTGTCAGTTGGGTAAGTGTTACATTGTCAGATGGATATGTGTTGCATTGTCAGATGGTATAGTGTTACATTGTCAGTTGGGTAAGTGTTACATTGTCAGATGGATATGTGTTGCATTGTCAGATGGTATAGTGTTACATTGTCAGATGGAATCTTCTGTTTTGTCAGATGAGACCTGTTACACACAAAGACAATATCTATTACATTGTCAGAAGGATATCTCTTTTAGATTGTCAGACATATCTATTACATATATACAAATATAGATACCTAAGTTACATTGTCAGACAGATAACTCTTACATACACAGATGGATACCTCCGTTACATATATACTCAGATGGATACCTCTGTTACATATATACTCAGATGGATACCTCTGTTACATATGTACTCAGACGGATACCTCCGTTACATATATACTCAGATGGATACCTCTGTTACATATATACTCAGATGGATACCTCCGTTACATATATACTCAGATGGATACCTCTGTTACATATATACTCAGATGGATACCTCTGTTACATATATACTCAGATGGATACCTCAGTTACATATATACTCAAATGGATACCTCTGTTACATATGTACTCAGATGGATACCTGTTACATATATACTCAGATGGATACCTCCGTTACATATATACTCAAATGGATACCTCTGTTACATATGTACTCAGATGGATACCTCTGTTACAGATATACTCAGATGGATACCTCTCTTACATATATACTCAGATGGATACCTATTACATATATACTCAGATGGATACCTCTGTTACAGATATACTCAGAAGGATACCTCTGTTACATATATACTCACACACAAAAATGGTTTCTAGCATGCCGCCAATGCATAAATATTCAGGATCTGAGTCAACACTAACAATGCATGCACACTTGTTGGGGAAGTACCTTGGTCAACATGGAAATGAACACATAACACTTTTGTGACTAATGTTACGTGGTCATATGACCAGATGATACACATGGTTGCAGCTTATCCTCTTGTGGTTGTAGCTTATCCTCTTGTGGTTGTAGCTTATCCTCTTGTGGTTGTAGCTTATCCTCTTGTGGTTGTAGCTTATCCTCTTGTGGTTGGCACCTGGTTTGGCACCTGGTAGTGTTCGTACACTTTTGGTCACACACATGACCATACACACACATGCACACACATGCACACACATGAACACACATGCCCACCTCATCCACATTAACTTTACACACATGCATGTCATCCCCCCCACCCCCCACCCCCACACACACAGAGACACACGCACAAGTCTTAAAACATGAACAGTTAGCATTGATGTCCTTGTCCTCTGCACAGACTGCCAGCAACACTCCGGGGCTCATGTCCTTGTCCTCTGCACAGACTGCCAGCATCACTCCGTGGCTCATGTCCTTGTCCTCTGCACAGACTGCCAGCAACATTCCGTGGCTCATGTCCTTGTCCTCTGTACAGACTGCCAGCAACACTCCATGGCTCATGTCCTTGTCCTCTGTTCAGACTGCCAGCAACATTCCGTGGCTCATGTCCTTGTCCTCTGTACAGACTGCCAGCAACACTCCATGGCTCATGTCCTTGTCCTCTGCACAGACTGCCAGCAACATTCCGTGGCTCATGTCCTTGTCCTCTGTACAGACTGCCAGCATCACACCGTGGCTCATGTCCTTGTCCTCTGCACAGACTGCCAGCAATACTCCGTGGCTCATGTCCTTGTCCTCTGCACAGACCACCAGCAACTTTCAGTGGCTCACGTCCTTGTCCTCTGCACAGACTGCCAGCAACACTCCGTGGCTCACGTTCTTGTCCTCTGCACAGCCTCACTCCGTGGCTCACGTCCTTGTCCTCTGCACAGACTGCCAGCACTACTCCGTGGCTCACGTTCTTGTCCTCTGCACAGCATCACTCCGTGGCTCACGTCCTTGTCCTCTGCACAGACTGCCAGCAACACTCCGTGGCTCACGTTCTTGTCCTCTGCACAGCATCACTCCGTGGCTCACGTCCTTGTCCTCTGCACAGACTGCCAGCAACATTCTGTGGCTCACGTCCTTGTCCTCTGCACAGACTGCCAGCATCACTCCGTGGCTCACGTGCTTGTCCTCTGCACAGACTGCCAGCATCACTCCGTGGCTCATGTCCTTGTCCTCTGCACAGACTGCCAGCATCACTCCGTGGCTCACGTCCTTGTCCTCTGCAAAGACTGCCAGCAACATTCCGTGGCTCACGTCCTTGTCCTCTGCACAGACTGCCAGCATCACGCCGTGGCCCATGTCCTTGTCCTCTGTACAGACTGCCAGCAACATTCCGTGGCTCATGTCCTTGTCCTCTGCTCAGACTGCCAGCATCACTCCGTGGCTCACGTTCTTGTCCTCTGCACAGCATCACTCCATGGCTCACGTCCTTGTCCTCTGCACAGATTGCCAGCATCACTCCGTGGCTCATGTCCTTGTCCTCTGCACAGACTGCCAGCAACACTCCGTGGCTCACGTGCTTGTCCTCTGCACAGATTGCCAGCATCACTCCGTGGCTCACGTCCTTGTCCTCTGCCAGCATCACTCCGTGGCTCACGTCCTTGTCCTCTGCACAGCATCACTCCGTGGCTCACGTCCTTGTCCTCTGCACAGACTGCCAGCATCACTCATTGGACTTCTAACATCAACTATTACAACCAAACTGAATATAATAAACAATATCTGCCTTGACAAACAAATCTGTAGAAATATGATCTAAATCTTAAATAACCTAGAGCATGAAGTACAGAGATTACTGAAACTCTATCCACAGTGACAAGCTCAGACACATGAAAAGAGTAAGCACTTGATGGGTAAGGCACAAGACACAATGTCAACACAACTATGACACAATCAGGACACAATGTAGCACCACGGCACTAAATACAACTTGTAAAACTTTGGATGCATAATGTCAATATCAGACTTGAAATTCCCTTTCCATCAAGATCTAGCAAGTCTACATTAAAACAACATCAATGCTTCACTGCCTTCATAATTCATAAAAAATATTAATCACTTTCTTTTTAACAAAAAACATTTTCCTGTAACCTTTGGAATGTGAGACATCTTACAAGGCTGAAACGTTCTGAGCCTAACTAGGATGGACTGCGTTGATAGAGCTGGCTGCTAATTGTTTTCACATAAGTTAATCCCCTCGGAGGTCCACAACATCTGTCAGTGATGCTTGGATGTGAGGATCCCACTGTGAAGAGGGTCTCCTGGGGGTGTACAAAGTCCACAGCAGAATTGACGCAATCATCATTTGCACAATGCTTGCTAGATAGTTCTCCCTTCAAGTTCGGGAAGAGGATGAAATCTGACGGTGCCGAATCTGGTGAATATGGAGGACGTTCAATGAGATTAAAGTCAAGGTCACGCATGCAGCCATGGCAACAACAGACTTGTTCACTGGAGCAATGTCCTGGAGGAACACACATGTAGTGAGCGTCCATCATGTTCGGCTTTGATACTCTCATGCAGTGGCCAAAGTATATTATTAGCATTATATCGGTGATTAATGACCTGACCACCAGCACGATTCTTTTGGAATCCCTGAAAACTGAAGCCATCGTAGACAGCTGAGGAAACAGACTTTGCCTTCTTTGGAGGAGATGTTAGATGTTTCCACTGCATTGACTGTTGCTTCGACTTTGGCTGAGAGTGGTTAAGTCAAGACATGTCCATGCTTACAAAACAAAAGAAAAAAACAAGAAAATAAGCTGGGTCTGCTTCGAATCGTTTAAATTCTCATAAGAGATGATGCACCTGGAATGTTTCTGATGAGGAGTGGTGACAGTTGAAGGTCTTCCTGATCCTGGAACATCACCAGCGTTCTCTCCAAGGATCTTGAAACCAGCTGCCCACCTCGCATCATCTGCTAAAGCTGACACCATGTCTGCATGGCCGGCTGTAGGGGGAGTCTCAGTTGGACATGCTTGATGACATCACAATAGCCTATTTTGTCCATTTTCTCCAACAGAGAATACCTGGTCACTTTGAAGCCGGGTCACTTTGATGCCAGCAGACATAGACTGCCTGTTGTGTATTGGTTGAAATGTAGCATGCACGCAGGGAAAATATTGTACTTTATACATGCAATCTGTTTCTGTGGACTAGACATCCTTCTTAGTTAGCCTCAGAACTTTTCAACCGCCCCTCATATAAAATAGGAGCTTTGACATTCCTCTTTGTGGGAGGACTCTGACATAACACTCGATAACGCAAAGATGCACTGTTAGATCAACGGTCGGACATTGCACTGCCGGTAGAGTTGGAGAGACTTATAATGGGGAAAACTGAACACATACACTTCACATCTGAATACAAAATTGGCATATACTTGACTTGTCATGGTGGGTTTTGATTGTGCTAGGATGCCAGCTGTGTGAGAAGCACATGACACAGCAAGCTCCTTTCAGGGTTCGGTAACTGTGATGAGCTAGCAGCAACTGAAGTCCCACAGCTTCACAGTCTTGTCATACGACCCTGACACAATGATGAAATCATTAAACTGCAGACAGGTCACTCCATCTTTGTGGTTCTGCAGGGTCACAAGTCGCTGGCCTGTCTCCAGATTCCACACCTGGCAAAAACATGAACACAATCAAGACACAGTTTGACACAATCATCACACAGTTCAACACTATCAAAACAAAGTCCAACACAATAAACACAATCAACAAACAGTTTGACACAATCATCACACAGTTCAACACTATCAAAACATAGTTCAACACAATAAACACAATCAACAAACAGTTTGACACAATCATCACACAGTTCAACACAATCATCACACAGTTCAACACTATCAAAACATAGTTCAACACAATAAAGACAATCAACAAACAGTTCAACACAATCAACAAACAGTTAAACACAATCAACACAAGTTCAACACAATCAACACAGTTCAACACAATCAACACAAGTTCAACACAATCAACAAACAGTTCAACACAATCAAAACACAGTTCAACACAATCAACACATCGTTCAACACAATCAACAAACAGTTCAACACAATCAACACAAGTTCAACACAATCAACACAGTTCAACACAATCAACACAGTTCATTACAATCAACAAACAGTTCAACACAATCAACACACAGTTCAACACAATCGACAGTTCCACAAAATCAACACACAGTTCAACACAATCAACAAACAGTTCAACACAATCAACACACCGTTCAACACAATCGACAAACAGTTCAACACAATCAACACAAGTTCAACACTATCAAAACATAGTTCAACACAATAAACACAATCAACAAACAGTTTGACACAATCATCACACAGTTCAACACACAGTTCAACACAATCAACAAACAGTTCAACACAATCAACACAAGTTCAACACAATCAACAAACAGTTCAACACAATCAACAAACAGTTCAACACAATCATCACACAGTTCAACACAATCAACACATCGTTCAACACAATCAACAAACGGTTCAACACAACACAAGTTCAACACAATCAACACAGTTCAACACAATCAACACACAGTTCAACACAATCGACAGTTTCACAAAATCAACACACAGTTCAACACAATCAACAAACAGTTCAACACAATCAACACATCGTTCAACACAATCAACAAACAGTTCCACAAAATCAACACAGTTCAACACAATCAACAAACAGTTCAACACAATCAACAAACAGTTCAACACAATCAACACATCGTTCAATACATAGTTCGACACAATCAACACAGTACGACACAATCAACAGACAGTCCAACACAATCAACAAACAGTTCAACACAATCAACACATCGCTCAACACACAGTTCAACACAATCAACACATAGTTCAACACAATCAACACACAATTTCACACAATTAACACATAGTTCAACACAATCAACACACAGTTCAACACAATCAACACATGTGAGACATGTGGCTCCTGTCTACCCTCACCTTGATGGTCTTGTCATCAGCTGCACTGACCAGCCGCCAACTATCAGCCTGCAGACATCTGAAAGCCAACATCAAGTCCATAGTCAAACACTCCACACAGGCCAGCATGCATCTGTCAATGTACTTGTGATATGAGCTGTTCTGTTTGTAAGTTTCTCTTTTCTTTGTTTGTTTGTTGTGTAACGCCGCACTCGGCAATATTCCAGCCATATGACGGCAGGATGTCAATAGTCAAATCTGGACAAGACAATCCAGTGATTGATATCCTGAGCATCAACCTATGCAAATGGGATACGAAGACATGCATCAACCAAGCCAGGAAGTCTTTTTAAAGCAAGCATGGACTGCTGAAGACCTATTCTAACCCGGATCTTCACGGATTTTCTCTTTTCTACTTGTAAATTGAGGCGACCAGATGACGCCACGGACTGTTTCCTCCACCAACCTGACAACTCCTGTGTGGCCTTCAGCAGCCTTCCAGTCGATGGTGTTGATGCACTCGCCGCTGTGGATGTCCCAGAACTTGAGGTTACAGTCAAGGGAGCCGCTGACGATACGAGTAGCATCAAACTGCAGACATGTGACAGCATCTTGGTGGCCGGACAGCGTTATCATGCACACGCCTTGGTAGTTCCACACCTGCACACAGACAAGGGGGTCAATATCACAAAGTCATTGACATCCCCCCAATGGTCAATACCTGTCATAAATACATCAACTAGTTGCATGTCAAATGTAACCACATGAAAAGGTCCCAGGGCCCCATTGCACAAGCAATCTTAGCACTAAGATGATTGCAACTCCCATACTTTAACACAGACTAATGATAATCATAGCACTAAGATCACTTTTTGCAACGGGGCCCAGTTCACTACTAGACCTATCTATGTGCCAAGTCTGATGAAGAAATATTGCACAGTTTTCAAGATCTGCTCCGGAAACATGCATTGCAACCATTTTCAGTCCAAGTCAAAGTTGTCGCTATGGAAACTTGAAGAATAAATTGATTAAAAATCCCAAACAATCAAATGGCACCAGTTCACCACTAGACCTATCTATGTCCCAAGTTTGTTTATGAAATATTGTAAGGTCTTCAAGATCTGATCCCGTTATGACACCTTGTGTGGACGCACGAAAGGGTGGCGTGCATTTGAATACCTCCTACAAAACACAGGGGACAATGACAGAGTACACCTGCACACAGACTGATCCACTGATAGTCAGACAATGTCATATAATCTCTGACAATGTCACAATGTCAGACTACATAAGATTATGTTCTGATAGGCCAAAGTAACATCAGAGATGGGCTTCACACATTATACCCATGTGGGGAATCAAACCTGGGCCTTCGGCGTGATGAGCGAACACATTAGCCACAAGGCTACCCCACCGCCTTGACATCATAAAGGTAGGTCTAGTTCTAAACAAGTCTGATTCTTGATCAACCAATGTATGTTCTTTCTCTCGACTGATTCTGACATGATCTCACACCAACTTGTTTTTCACAAATAAAAACATGTAAGCCTAAGAAATGTTTCAGAATTATATTGAATATTAAATATAATTTTGCCTTTTTGTCGTTTGATAAATGTATCAACACTCATTAAACAAGCAGTAAACATGCTTGGCAAGCCTCTCAGTTGGGCTTCTTTCGTCAAATCGTGGGGACATATTGGATGTTGCTTAGGTGAGATTCTGTATATACCGGAGATCAGAATCAGTTAAACCCAGGTCACCAAAGAATTATTGATTGTTGAAGCATTTATCTTTGTTGCAGCGTGTATTGATTGTTGAAGCATTTGGCTTTGTTGAAGCATATATTAATTGTTGAAGCATTTAGCTTTGTTGCAGCATATATTGATTGTTAAAGCATTTATCTTTGTTGCAGCATGTATTGATTGATTGTTGAAGCATTTATCTTTGTTGCAGCATATATTGATTCTTGAAGCATTTGGCTTTGTTGCAGCATATATAGATTGTTGAAGCATTTATCTTTGTTGCAACATATATTGATTCTTGAAGCATTTGGCTTTGTTGCAGCATGTATTGATTGTTGAAGCATTGAGCTTTGTTGCAGCATATATTGATTGTTGAAGCATTTATCTTTGTTGCAACATATATTGATTGTTGAAGCATTTATCTTTGTTGCAACATATATTGATTGTTGAAGCATTTAACTTTGTTGCAGCATATTGATTGAGAGGCTGACATTAAGATTCAGAAGAGCCAGTGATGCAGCACCCTAGTATCACGAACCCATGGTAACACATGGTACAGAGGATGTGGAGGAAGGGCTCACCTTGATGGTGTTATCACAGGACCCCGACACAATCTTGTTCTCGTTGAAGTGAACACATAATACTGCTGCCTGGTGACCTCTGGAACAGACATGGCGTAGGTGGAAGTGACAACACAATGTAGGTGGAAGTGACAACACAATGTAGGTGGAAGTGACAACACAATGTAGGTGGAAGTGACAACACAATGTAGGTGGAAGTGACAACACAATGTAGGTGGAAGTGACAACTACAATGAGGTAGAAGTGACAACTACAATGAGGTTGGGTGGTAGATGTTGTATGGAGTGTGTTTGAGGGGGACGGGGGGTATCAGGTGTGGCAGGCGATGTTGAGGGGGGCAGCCTATGTCAGGTATTGCAGGTGATGTTGGAGGGGGTGAAGTGTTGCAGGTGATGTTGGAGGGGGTCAGGGGTTGCAGGTGATGTTGGAGGGGTCAGGTGTTGCAGGTGATGTTGGAGGGGGTCAAGTGTTGCAGGTGATGTTGGAGGGGGTCAGGTGTTGCAGGTGATGTCGGAGGGGGTCAGGTGTTGCAGGTGATGTTGGGGGGGTCAGGTGTTGCAGGTGATGTTGGTGGTGGTCAGGTGTTGCAGGTGATGTTGGAGGGGGTCAGATGTTGTTGGTGATGTTGGGGGATGACGGGAGGGGATACTGCGAGACTGTATGCATGTCCCGGGGGGACTCCTACCGTAGTGTCCTCCGACAGCTGCCTGTCTTCAGGTCCCACACCTTGAGTGTCTTGTCATACGAGCCACTGATCACCTTGTCGTCATCAACCTGGAAGTGGAAGTGGAAGTGGAAGTGGAAGTGGAAGTGAAGTCTTACGGTCAGTCATGGTCAACACTGGCCAGCAGGTCAGGGACGACACCAGGCAGCGGACTCGTCCTGGTCAGGATCAGCCAGTTATCGGATCGCTCGACCCTTGACCTCAATGGTATTGTAGGAACACCAATACATTCTGCTGGAAAGTGTTGGTTTCTAGTACACAACAGGGACTATTTGGGCTGCAGGGCTTGCGTTATGTTTTAAGTTATAAAACTGTTCAGGAATTTCATTTATATTCTGTAGTTTTAAATTTTAAACATCTAAGGTTTCATTCAACTTGTCTCACTGGGACAGAGTTTAATGATGCAAGCCCACAGTGACAATGTCAAAGTGAGCTAACATGCAGGCCCTACATGCAGGCCCGTATGTATGGAAACCTACCACGGGGAGCCAATGGTGAATGTGATTCCATGATTATTTTATTTATCCATGAGATTATCTTGTATTTGAAACCAGGCAGCATTGAAGTGGTAAATCTTGTTCCCAAACTGTTGTCATGGGCACCAGAGTCAGGACAGTGCCCTGTTTCAGACATCATCTCAACTGTTTCAACCCAGTAAAACAACAATGTCCCCCTTCCCCTTACCTGCAGGCATCGGACGGTGTCCGTGTGTCCGATCATTGTCACCTTGCAGGCAATGCTTGACCAGGAGTCCCGGGTCGACAGGTCCCACACCTGTAGACAACAGCAGACTTTAGTGAAATACTCACACACTTGCAGACAACAGCAGACTTTAGTCAAATACTCACACACTTGCAGACAACAGCAGACATTAGTCAAATACTCACACACTTGCAGACAACAGCAGACTTTAGTGAAAACACACACACCTACAGACAACAGCAGACTTCTGTGAAATACTCACACACTTGCAGACAACAGAAGACTTTAGTGAAAACACACACACCTGCAGACAACAGCAGACTTCAGTTAAATACTCACACACTTGCAGACAACAGAAGACTTTAGTCAAATACTCACACACTTGCAGACAACAGAAGACTTTAGTCAAATACTCACACACTTGCAGACAACAGCAGACTTTAGTGAAAACACACACACCTACAGACAACAGCAGACTTCTGTGAAATACTCACACACTTGCAGACAACAGCAGACTTTAGTGAAAACACACACACCTGCAGACAACAGCAGACTTCAGTTAAATACTCACACACTTGCAGACAACAGAAGACTTTAGTCAAATACTCACACACTTGCAGACAACAGCAGACTTCAATGTAATACTCACACACTTGCAGACAACAGCAGACTTTAGTGAAATACTCACACACTTGCAGACAACAGCAGACTTTAGTCAAATACTCACACACATGCAGACAACAGCAGACTTTATTGAAAACACACACACACTTGCAGACAACAGCAGACTTTAGTGAAAACACACAAACCTGCAGACAACAGCAGACTTTAGTCAAATACTCACACACCTGCAGACAACAGCAGACTTTAGTGAAAACACACACACACCTGCAGACAAACAGCAGACTTTATTGAAAACACACACACACCTGCAGACAACAGCAGACTTTATTGAAAACACACACACCTGCAGACAACAGCAGACTTTAGTCAAATACTCACACACCTGCAGACAACAGCAGACGTTAGTGAAATACTCACACACTTGCAGACAACAGACTTCTGTGAAATACTCACACACCTGCAGACAACAGCAGACTTTAGTCAAATACTCACACACTTGCAGACAACAGACTTCTGTGAAATACTCACACACCTGCAGACAACAGCAGACTTTAGTGAAATACTCACACACCTGCAGACAACAGCACACTTCTGTGAAATACTCACACACTTGCAGACAACAGCAGACTTCAGTGTAATACTCACACACCTGCAGACAACAGCAGACTTTAGTGAAATACTCACACACCTGCAGACAACAGCAGACTTTAGTCAAATACTCACACACTTGCAGACAATAGCAGACTTTAGTGAAATACTCACACACTTGCAGACAACAGCAGACTTTAGTGTAATACTCACACACTTGCAGACAACAGCAGACGTTAGTGAAATACTCACACACTTGCAGACAACAGCAGACGTTAGTGAAATACTCACACACCTGCAGACAACAGCAGACTTCAGTGAAATACTCACACACTTGCAGACAACAGCAGACTTCAGTGAAATACTCACACACTTGCAGACAACAGCAGACTTCAGTGAAATACTCACACACTTGCAGACAACAGCAGACGTTAGTGAAATACTCACACACTTGCAGACAACAGCAGACTTCAGTGAAATACTCACACACCTGTAGACAACAGCAGACTTCAGTGAAATACTCACACACTTGCAGACAACAGCAGACTTCAGTGAAATACTCACACACTTGCAGACAACAGCAGACTTCAGTGAAATACTCACACACTTGCAGACAATAGCAGACTTTAGTGAAATGCTCACACACTTGCAGACAACAACAAACAGGTTTGTGGTAACCTGGGATCAGAATCCCATATGTATCATAAGAAATAAGACAGACTTATCTTGTAGTTCCACATAGTTGTTTACTTTTGAGCGTCAACACAACATCCTACATGACAAGCGTCTGACAACATTACCCAACATGCATTGCTGTGGGACCATTACCGTATATCGCATTCTATAAAGCGACCCCACGTATAAGATGACCCCCCTGTACAAGCCTTTAAAATTGATGCTAATTCATATACCCCGTCTATAAAGCGAATCGGAATGAAGCACGTCACCGGCGTATACACAATCCCTACATTTGCAATAAAAACATGTCTGTCTTCCGCAGAAAAAATTACATCGTTTCCCTTCAGCGATCAGGGAAATGAACAGATTGTAACAATTAAACTTGGCCAATACAAATTTAAAAGTTGAGATAAAAAAATACTAGACATGCTCATTTACCAATCAAATTGTATTTCCTGTTCTGACAGGCATTGTTTTATATGCAGAGATTAAGATTATAGTGTGTATTTTTGCGTAAACTAAGCCGGAAGTAGCAATCAGCTGTACACATGTTTATCGGAAACTACGGGTGATTTGGTAAATAATTACCCAATAATATAACTTTAAAGAATTTTGATGCAATAATCGAAAGAATTGAATCTGAACTATTAAAAATATACGGAATAATTTATTCCAATATCATGTTATTTTAGTAGTATTTTACTATATATATATTTGAAATAAATTAATCACGATAAGCGTAGCACTTTTGTACAGCTGACTGCTATTGCCAGATATTTTTTCATATGGAACAAATTGACCAATCACCGCTGATGCTTCCGTGTTCACTTTATGTTGACAAATAATAGTCAAACTACAACCAATATGACTTTCAGCGAGTCAAAGTATGGCATTTATGATATATATATCCATTCTCTATCCACTAAAGTTTGTTTCAAGGCGTCAATAGTGGTAATATGACCGTGGTTGCTGTAAATAACGGTGAGTTGTGCGATCTTCCAATCACTTCACATATGATTTTGCAGAAATGAAAATTAACAATATTGAATGAAATTTTGAATAAAATAAATAAAATAGATTACATAGGTAAGTCCAGATATATAATGAACTGTTGTTATAACCAGACAGTGTAATTACATGATTAGTTAGCGTACTTCATTACGGATATGTTGACATGGTATTTCTGGTGTTATGTGCTCACAGTTATGTCTGAGTTGGGGGAAAACATCTGAACTCTTCAAACCTGGGTATAAGATGCCCCCCCTTGAAAGCCCCCTAATTCGGTGTATGAAAAACTTGCCCTATACACAGCGATATACAGTAATTTACAATGATGACTCATACAAGGTTACAATGCCATGGTAACACTACCTTGATGGTTTTATCACTGGAGCCACTGACGAGTCTGCTTCCCTCCAGGTGGAGACACCGTACTGTCCCACTGTGTCCTACCAGCGTCTGCACGGACCAGGGTGCATTAGTGCGAATATTCCAAACCTTGAAATAAAAAACAACACAGGTTAGTTTACAAACACTTCCTGGTGCTTGACTGCACTCACACAAGGGACAGGGTTGTACGTGCATTGAGTACACACATATGTGCATCCAGTACACACATATGTGCATCCAGTACACACACATGGGCATCCAGTACACACACATGGGCATCCAGTACACACACGTACATCCAGTACACACACATGCATCCAGTACACACACGTACATCCAGTACACACACATGGGCATCCAGTACACACACATGGGCATCCAGTACACACACATACATCCAGTACACACACATACATCCAGTACACACACGTGCATTGAGTACACACACATGGGCATCCAGTACACACACATGGGCATCCAGTACACACACATGGGCATCCAGTACACACACATGGGCATCCAGTACACACACGTGCATCAAGTACACACACATGGGCATCCAGTACACACACGTGCATCCAGTACACACACATGCATCCAGTACACACACATACATCCAGTACACACACATACATCCAGTACACACACATATACATCCAGTACACACACATACATCCAGTACACACACATACATCCAGTACAAACACGTGCATCCAGTACACACATACATCAAGTACACACACATACATCCAGTACACACACATGGGCATCCAGTACACACATACATCCAGTACACACACGTGCATCCAGTACACACACATGGGCATCCAGTACACACATATACATCCAGTACACACACGTGCATCCAGTACACACACATGGGCATCCAGTACACACATACATCCAGTACACACACGTGCATCCAGTACACACACATACATCCAGTACACACACATACATCCAGTACACACACAAACATCCAGTACACACACATACATCCAGTACACACATATACATCCAGTACACACACATGCATCCAGTACACACACATACATCCAGTACACACACATACATCCAGTACACACACATACATCCAGTACACATATACATCCAGTACACACACATACATCCAGTACACACACATACATCCAGTACACATATACATCCAGTACACACACATGGGCATCCAGTACACACATACATCCAGTACACACACGTGCATCCAGTACACACACATGGGCATCCAGTACACACATACATCCAGTACACACACGTGCATCCAGTACACACATATACATCCAGTACACACACATACATCCAGTACACACATATACATCCAGTACACACACATACATCCAGTACACACATATACATCCAGTACACACACATACATCCAGTACACACACATACATCCAGTACACACACATACATCCAGTACACACACATGCATCCAGTACACACACATGCATCCAGTACACACACATACATCCAGTACACACATATACATCCAGTACACACACATACATCCAGTGCACACACATGGGCATCCAGTACACACATATACATCCAGTATACACATATACATCCAGTACACACACATACATCCAGTACACACATATACATCCAGTACACACACATACATCCAGTACACACACATGGGCATCCAGTACACACACATACATCCAGTACACACATATACATCCAGTACACACACATACATCCAGTACACACACATACATCCAGTACACACACATACATCCAGTACACACACATATACATCCAGTACACACATACATCCAGTACACACACATACATCCAGTACACACATATACATCCAGTACACACACATACATACATCCAGTACACACATATACATCCAGTACACACACATACATCCAGTACACACATATACATCCAGTACACACACATGCATCCAGTACACACATATACATCCAGTACACACACATGCATCCAGTACACACACATGCATCCAGTACACACACATACATCCAGTACACACATATACATCCAGTACACACACATACATCCAGTGCACACACATGGGCATCCAGTACACACATATACATCCAGTATACACATATACATCCAGTACACACACATACATCCAGTACACACACATGGGCATCCAGTACACACACATACATCCAGTACACACATATACATCCAGTACATACACATACATCCAGTACACACACATACATCCAGTACACACACATACATCCAGTACACACACATGGGCATCCAGTACACACATACATCCAGTACACACACATACATCCAGTACACACATATACATCCAGTACACACACATACATCCAGTACACACACATACATACATCCAGTACACACATATACATCCAGTACACACACATACATCCAGTACACACATATACATCCAGTACACACACATGCATCCAGTACACACACATACATCCAGTACACACACATACATCCAGTACACACACATACATCCAGTACACACATATACATCCAGTACACACACATACATCCAGTACACACACATACATCCAGTACACACACATACATCCAGTACACACACATACATCCAGTACACACATATACATCCAGTACACACACATACATCCAGTACACACACATACATCCAGTACACACACATACATCCAGTACACACACATACATCCAGTACACACACATACATCCAGTACACACACATACATCCAGTACACACATATACATCCAGTGCACACACATACATCCAGTACACACATATACATCCAGTACACACACATACATCCAGTACACACACATACATCCAGTACACACACATACATCCAGTACACACACATACATCCAGTACACACACATACATCCAGTACACACACATACATCCAGTACACACATATACATCCAGTGCACACACATACATCCAGTACACACATATACATCCAGTACACACACATACATCCAGTACACACACATACATCCAGTACACACACATACATCCAGTACACACACATACATCCAGTACACACACATGCATCCAGTACACACACATACATCCAGTACACATACATGGGCATCCAGTACACACACATACATCCAGTACACACATATACATCCAGTACACACACATACATCCAGTACACACATATACATCCAGTGCACACACATACATCCAGTACACACATATACATCCAGTACACACACATACATCCAGTACACACACATACATCCAGTACACACACATACATCCAGTACACACACATACATCCAGTACACACACATGCATCCAGTACACACACATACATCCAGTACACATACATGGGCATCCAGTACACACACATACATCCAGTACACACATATACATCCAGTACACACACATACATCCAGTACACACACATACATCCAGTACACACACATGGGCATCCAGTACACACACATGGGCATCCAGTACACATATGGGCATCCTGTACACACATGGGCATCCAGTACACACATGGGCATCCAGTACACACATATGGGCATCCAGTACACACATATGGGCATCCAGTACACACACATGGGCATCCAGTACACACACATGGGCATCCAGTACACACACATGGGCATCCAGTACACACACATGGGCATCCAGTACACACACATGGGCATCCAGTACACACACATGGGCATCCAGTACACACACATACATCCAGTACACACATGGGCATCCAGTACACACACATGGGCATCCAGTACACACACATACATCCAGTACACACATATGGGCATCCAGTACACACATGGGCATCCAGTACACACATATGGGCATCCAGTACACACACATGGGCATCCAGTACACACATATGGGCATCAAGTACACACACATGGGCATCCAGTACACACACGTACGTCCAGTACACACATGGGCATCCAGTACACACATGGGCATCCAGTACACACAAATTGGCATCCAGTACACACACATGGGCATCCAGTACACACACATACATCCAGTACACACATGGGCATCCAGTACACACACATACATCCAGTACACACATATGGGCATCCAGTACACATATCGGCATCCAGTACACACACATACATCCAGTACACACAGGCATCCAGTACACACATATGTAGAGAACGGACACAGACAATAATATAAACCATGGCCTATGTCCACAATCATTGCTTCTGAAAGAAGAATCAAGCCGCTGGTAAACTCAAATGATGTTTACTTGTTCAGATCAAAACAATAACTGACAACACAACTGTGTTACTATGATGACGTCATCACAACACTCACACAACCATTCCAAACTATGTTAACAAATGCGTTCTATTTATAGAAATACGTCTGGGTTTAGAGTTACCTCCCTTACATCAATTCATTCCATGCTCTAAAGTAGTTATCTAAACGCATGGTACACTACACCATTTCAAAATTTGAAGGACCCTCATATTGCCTGCAAGGACTCTTTAAATAATTATTGGGTCCCCTGGACCCCTACGTTATAAGTGAAGGTAAAACCCTGAGTCTAATAAAAGAGCAACAAATCTGGGTGGGCCCATCCTAGAACACCCAGTCTTTCTGCCAGCTCTCAGACTGACAGGACACTCACCTTTACCGTCTTGTCGGACGATCCGCTCACAATACGAGTGTCATCAAACTGTACACACGAAATACCTGGGGAGACACAGAACACAGATTTACAAAGTTTCTGCTTTCATCCATTTGTCTCAAGGTCATCAAACAGTTGAGCTAACAAACAATGCAAGAAATATCTCTCAAACACGATGCAAAACTTAGTGGTAAGCAAATTGGGAACATATTCCAAAAGGGTTTTATTTTCTTAACTGCAGGGTGTTGTAACAACGGATTTAATGCACTACTGTAAACCTAGAGGGAAACAATGCTCCAACTCTCAGCCGTCTATCTGGCACCGTTTAATTAGCCTGCCTAATCACTGGATGCTAATTAGCATCAGCTACCAAACAAACTGGGCTTCGGACCGGCGAGGGGGCGAATGGGGGAGCCTTTGTTGACAGTGAGGGGGGACTTCCCTTGAATCCCCACATTTGATTGGATGATGCTTACTATAACCTTTCACCTTGCCAAATCCTTGTGTGTGTGTGTGTGTGTAAATGTGTACGTACATTTCTGTAGTTTAGTATACAGAAAATATGTGCACATATCATTTTGGCAACAATGAAGTTCAGTTCCTATACTATAAACAGCAACGACCCATATACTACTCCCTTCTTGTCAACCATGTTTCCTGGTAAATCCCTACACCTGTGTTTTTGTGGTCATTTACTTGATGCTCAGTTAATGACTTTATTACAGGTATAATTAGTGGTAGAACTACTCAGATTACCTGACAAAGACTGCAAAATAACTCAATAACATTCACCCCTGCTTCTGACGGTGTCCCAGATAAGTCAGCAAGTGTAAGTGGCATACCTAATTTACCTAAGTGTGGCTTACCTTGAGTGTTGCTTACCTTAAGTGTTGATTACCTTGAGTGTAGCTTACCTTAAGTGTTGATTACCTTGAGTGTAGCTTACCTTGCGTGTGGCCCTCGAATGTGCGGACTGTACATCGACCTCGCAGCCAGTTGTTCCTCAGCCGGAATCTCTCAGCAAACACATTCTTCCACTGCAGCACGTAGAGTAGAAAACGTTAATGAACCATGGACAATCCAGAGAATTGTCAGTGTGACATGTACAGGAGAAAACAGAAAACAGCAGACATTGGGACAGATGTGACAAGTGGTTCTTAATGAAAAGCGGATATTTCTTGCCTATATTCACCGTATGAGTTGAGATCTATTGAGTATACAATGTACATGAAAACTTCCTACAAACAAAGGGGCGGTCGGGTAGCCTAGTGGTTAAAGCGTTCGCTCGTCACGCCGAAGACCCGGGTTCGATTCCCGACATGGGTACAATGTGTGAAGCCCATTTCTGGTGTCCCCCACCGTGATATTGCTGGAATATTGCTAAAAGCGGCGTAAAACCATACTCACTCACTCACTCCTACAAACAAACTGTCTTGTGCGAATACTGTCTTCGTTAACACTGTCTACCTCACCTCTGCCCACCTGTATAATGTCTCCCTCACCACTGCCTACCTGTATACTGTCTCCCTCATCACTGCCTACCTGTATACTGTCTCCCTCACCACTACCTACCTGTATACTGTCTCCCTCACCACCAGTATACTGTCTCCCTCACCACTGCCTACCTGTATACTGTCTCCCTCACCACTCCCTACCTGTATACTGTCTCCCTCACCACTGCCTACCTGTATACTGTCTCCCTCACCACTGCCTACCTGTATACTGTCTCCCTCACCACTGCCTACCTGTATACTGTCTCCCTCACCACTCCCTACCTGTATACTGTCTCCCTCACCACCAGTATACTGTCTCCCTCACCACTCCCTACCTGTATACTGTCTCCCTCACCACTGTCTACCTGTATACTGTCTCCCTCACCACCAGTATACTGTCTCCCTCACCACTCCCTACCTGTATACTGTCTCCCTCACCACCGCCTACCTGTATACTGTCTCCCTCACCACTCCCTACCTGTATACTGTCTCCCTCACCACTCCCTACCTGTATACTGTCTCCCTCACCACTCCCTACCTGTATACTGTCTCCCTCACCACTGCCTACCTGTATACTGTCTCCCTCACCACCAGTATACTGTCTCCCTCACCACTCCCTACCTGTATACTGTCTCCCTCACCACCGCCTACCTGTATACTGTCTCCCTCACCACTCCCTACCTGTATACTGTCTCCCTCACCACTCCCTACCTGTATACTGTCTCCCTCACCACTCCCTACCTGTATACTGTCTCCCTCACCACTGCCTACCAGTATACTGTCTCCCTCACCACCAGTATACTGTCTCCCTCACCACCAGTATACTGTCTCCCTCACCACTCCCTACCTGTATACTGTCTCCCTCACCACTCCCTACCTGTATACTGTCTCCCTCACCACCAGTATACTGTCTCCCTCACCACTCCCTACCTGTATACTGTCTCCCTCACCACTCCCTACCTGTATACTGTCTCCCTCACCACTGTCTACCTGTATACTGTCTCCCTCACCACTGCCTACCTGTATACTGTCTCCCTCACCACCAGTATACTGTCTCCCTCACCACTCCCTACCTGTATACTGTCTCCCTCACCACTGTCTACCTGTATACTGTCTCCCTCACCACTGCCTACCTGTATACTGTCTCCCTCACCACTCCCTACCTGTATACTGTCTCCCTCACCACTCCCTACCTGTATACTGTCTCCCTCACCACTGCCTACCTGTATACTGTCTCCCTCACCACTCCCTACCTGTATAATGTCTCCCTCACCACCAGTATACTGTCTCCCTCACCACTCCCTACCTGTATACTGTCTCCCTCACCACTGTCTACCTGTATACTGTCTCCCTCACCACTGCCTACCTGTATACTGTCTCCCTCACCACTGCCTACCTGTATACTGTCTCCCTCACCACTGCCTACCTGTATACTGTCTCCCTCACCACTCCCTACCTGTATACTGTCTCCCTCACCACCAGTATACTGTCTCCCTCACAGCTCCCTACCTGTATACTGTCTCCCTCACCACTGCCTACCTGTATACTGTCTCCCTCACCACTCCCTACCTGTATACTGTCTCCCTCACCACTCCCTACCTGTATACTGTCTCCCTCACCACTGCCTACCTGTATACTGTCTCCCTCACCACTCCCTACCTGTATACTGTCTCCCTCACCACTGTCTACCTGTATACTGTCTCCCTCACCACTGCCTACCTGTATACTGTCTCCCTCACCACCAGTATACTGTCTCCCTCACCACTGTCTACCTGTATACTGTCTCCCTCACCACTCCCTACCTGTATACTGTCTCCCTCACCACCAGTATACTGTCTCCCTCACCACTGCCTACCTGTATACTGTCTCCCTCACCACTCCCTACCTGTATACTGTCTCCCTCACCACTGTCTACCTGTATACTGTCTCCCTCACCACTGCCTACCTGTATACTGTCTCCCTCACCACTGTCTACCTGTACACTGTCTCCCTCACCACTGTCTACCTGTATACTGTCTCCCTCACCACTGCCTACCTGTATACTGTCTCCCTCACCACTCCCTACCTGTATACTGTCTCCCTCACCACTGTCTACCTGTATACTGTCTCCCTCACCACTGCCTACCTGTATACTGTCTCCCTCACCACCAGTATACTGTCTCCCTCACCACTGTCTACCTGTATACTGTCTCCCTCACCACTCCCTACCTGTATACTGTCTCCCTCACCACCAGTATACTGTCTCCCTTACCACTGTCTACCTGTATACTGTCTCCCTCACCACTGTCTACATGTATACTGTCTCCCTCACCACTTCCTACCTGTATACTGTCTCCCTCACCACCAGTATACTGTCTCCCTTACCACTCCCTACCTGTATACTGTCTCCCTCACCACTGCCTACCTGTATACTGTCTCCATTACCACTGCCTACCTGTATACTGTCTCCATTACCACTGCCTACCTGTATACTGCCTTCCACAGACATATGACTGATGACTTGCTTGTGTTCTGCTGCCTTTGACAATCGCCATTTCGGTTGACAACAGAATCTGCGCCAGAACGACGGATCGTCTGCAAGTTGCTGCCACACTTTACAGACCTGTGACGACCGACATAAACTCACTGAAACAAAAAATGACCATTGGGTTATCTGTATACAAGTCAGCAAAACAAGCTACCCAGGTGCTAGCCATGTCCAAGTCAGCAAAACAAGCTACCCAGGTGCTAGCCATGTCCAAATCAGTGAAAACAAGCTACCCTGGTGCTAGCCATGTCCAAATCAGTGAAACAAGCTACCCAGGTGCTAGCCATGTCCAAATCAGTGAAAACAAGCTACCCTGGTGCTAGCCATGTCCAAATCAGTGAAAACAAGCTACCCTGGTGCTAGCCATGTCCAAATCAGTGAAAACAAGCTACCCTGGTGCTAGCCATGTCCAAATCAGTGAAACAAGCTACCCTGGTGCTAGCCATGTCCAAATCAGTGAAACAAGCTACCCTGGTGCTAGCCATGTCCAAATCAGCGAAACAAGCTACCCTGGTGCAAGCCATGTCCAAATCAGCAAAACAAGCTACCCTGGTGCAAGCCATGTCCAAGTCAGTGAAACAAGCTACCCTGGTGCAAGCCATGTCCAAGTCAGCAAAACAAGCTACCCTGGTGCTAGCCATGTCCAAATCAGTGCTAGCCATGTCCAAATCAGCGAAACAAGCTACCCTGGTGCTAGCCATGTCCAAGTCAGTGAAACAAGCTACCCTGGTGCTAGCCATGTCCAAGTCAGCAAAACAAGCTACCCTGGTGCTAACCATGTCCAAGTCAGTGAAACAAGCTACCCTGGTGCTAGCCATGTCCAAGTCAGTGAAACAAGCTACCCTGGTGTTGGCCTTGTCCAGTGGTATCAGCAAGGTATCAAGCATTCAAAGCAACTTTAAAAAATGTTGATATTCACCTGGATCTAGGTAGGACATGATCTTGGCAGCCAGGTAACTAGGCAACCAGGTGATGATGTCCTGGCAGTTCGGGGGGCAGCCACGGTGGAGATTGGCCTCCATCTTCACAGACAACAGATGAATCTGAGGCAGGTCACAACCACTCTGAAACACAAGGGACAATCAGGAAGAGGTGCAATCATGATAACACACAGGTCTGCACCGGGGTGGGTATAACACACAGGTCTGCCCCGGGGTGGGTATAACACATGTGTCTTCACCAGATTGGGTATAACACATGTCTTCACCAGGGTGGATATAACACATGTGTCTTCACCGGGGTGGGTATAACACATGTCTTCACCAGGGTGGATATAACACATGTGTCTGCACCGGGGTGGATATAACACATGTGTCTTCATTAGGGTGGGAATAACACATGTGTCTTCACCAGGGTGGGTATAACACATGTGTCTTCACCAGATTGGGTATAACACATGTCTTCACCAGGGTGGATATAACACATGTGTCTTCATTAGGGTGGGAATAACACATGTGTCTTCACCAGGGTGGGTATAACACATGTGTCTTCACCAGATTGGGTATAACACATGTCTTCACCAGGGTGGATATAACACATGTGTCTCCATTAGGGTGGGAATAACACATGTGTCTTCACCAGGGTGGGTATAACACATGTCTTCACCAGGGTGGGTATAACACATGTGTCCTCACCGGGGTGGGTATAACACATGTGTCTCCATCGGGGTGGGTATAACACATGTGTCTTGACCAGATTGGGTATAACACATGTCTTCACCAGGGTGGATATAACACGTGTCTTCACCAGGGTGGGTATAACACATGTGTCTTCACCGGGGTGGGTATTACACATGTGTCTTCACCGGGGTGGGTATAACACATGTGTCTTCACCGGGGTGGGTATAACCCATGTGTCTCCACCGGAGTGGGTATAACACGTGTGTCTTCACCAGGGTGGGTATAACACATGTGTCTTCACCGGGGTGGGTATATCACATGTGTCTTCACCAGGGTGGGTATATCACATGTGTCTTCACCGGGGTGGGTATAACACATGTGTCTTCACCGGGGTGGGTATAACACATGTGTCTTCACCGGGGTGGGTATAACACATGTGTCTTCACTGGGATTGGTATAACACATGTGTCTTCACCGGGGTGGGTATAACACATGTGTCTTCACTGGGATTGGTATAACACATGTGTCTTCACCGGGGTGGGTATAACACATGTGTCTCCACCGGGGTGGATATAACACGTGTGTCTTCACTGGGGTCTGTATAACACATGTGTCTTCACCGGGGTCTGTATAACACATGTGTCTTCACTGGGGTGTGTATAACACGTGTCTTCACCGGGCTGGGTATAACACTTAACACATAAAGGTCAGGTATGTTAGCATGTTAGAAGCTGCAGCAGAACATGGACTTGTCATCTTTCATATGTGACTTCTCTGTACAGATACTGATGTAATTGTTTGATAAAGGTACAAGCATCTGTACCGAAACATCACATTGAAAGATTACAGAAGATTCAAATACATAAGTCAGATTGTTGGCTTGTTTGCTGTTTAACGCCGCACTCAGCAATATTCCAGCTATACGGCAGCCATCTGTAACTAATCCAGTCTGGACCAGACAATCCAGCAATTAGGATACGATGACATGCATCAACCAAGTCAGCAAGCCTGACCACCCAATCTCGTTAGTCGTCTCTTACAACAAGCATAGTTGCCTTTTACGGCAAGTATGGGTTGCTGAAGACCTGTTCTACCCCGGATCTTCACAGGTAAATACACAAGTCAGCTCTGTCTTCATGAAATGGTCACATGGATTTGGATGCTATAATAAAGTTTGGTAGCAGTGCTATTTTCTGCCACTTGCCACCCTAGACCTGACTCAAGGCCTACTTCCCATCAATCTGTTGGTGCTGATGAAAGAGTTCACGATGGTAGATGACCTCATTAATATATAATAGCTGTTTCTACTTACCAATAAACTTTTTAAAACTATATTCTTCTGCTCATCACTGAAATCTGCAAACCATCTCTTCATGGCCTGAAACAAGACATCAATACAACCACCATGATGAGGATGCGGCAACAGCAACAGCAACAGGCTCCGGACGTGACCAGACATCCCCCAGTCGCACACATCCTACTGATATGATTACTATCACTATCACTATGACTGTTCTCAGATGTTCATGCAGCGGTAGCCACGACGTACATAAACAACATGTACTTAACACAGATCTGGGCTCCAAAAACTCAAATATCCAAACTGTCTTAAATTCAGCGATGAGAATTATTAATTTGGTCACAAAGTACAGTCAAGTCCCGTTAATCCGACATCGATGGTTGCATATGATTATGTCGGATTAACGAGTATGTCGGATAAATGAAATTAAGCTGTATCAACGTTCGTGATCGAAAATCAGACAGCTTCACGATAGATAACGATTCAAACACGTAATAAAAGAAACATAAAATAAATATTCATATTGTTGTGTTACATTGTTTGCGTAATATGTTTTCTAATCATGCAACCTCTAAAGTTAAACACAAAACAACTGTTGCGGGCTGTATGACTTATTCAAAATACTTCAAAAAGCATAGTCTGGAATGGAAGTCGCAACTTTGAAACCGGTACCGCAAAGCTTAGAAAGCTGCTTTTTAAGTGGCTAACGTTGACTTTCTGTTAGTCATTTCATTGGTAGGTCATAGTTCGCGAAAGGTTGTTTCTTTATTCAAAGCATTAATTGTTTATTGTTAAGCAAGTTTATCTCTGCAGCCATTGTAATATGTAGCTACCAGCTGATTCATTTCACATCAAAACACGGGCTGTGTACTTTCGGGCAGATGACTACGGAGTACGATGATCACTGTGTCGGATTAACGAGACTGATTAATGAGTGATTTCGGTCATTCATTGCAAGACTGTTGGATTAACGGGTCTAAATAGCACTGATTCAATCAGTTCCCATCCCAAGTATGCTGTTGAACTTACAGCTAACTGCCAATGCTATATCTTTCAGTATTAATTTGGTCATAAGTATGCTGTTGTTTACAGCTAACTGCCAATGCTATATCTTTCAGTATTAATTTGGTCATAAGTACGCTGTTGAACTTACAGCTAACTGCCAATGCTATATCTTCAGTATTAATTTGGTCATAAGTATGCTGTTGAACTTACAGCTAACTGCCAATGCTATATCTTTCAGTATTAATTTGGTCATAAGTATGCTGTTGAACTTACAGCTAACTGCCAATGCTATATCTTCAGTATTAATTTGGTCATAAGTATGCTGTTGAACTTACAGCTAACTGCCAATGCTATATCTTTCAGTATTAATTTGATCACAAGTATGCTGTTGAACTTACAGCTAACTGCCAATGCTATATCTTTCAGTATTAATTTGGTCATAAGTATGCTGTTGAACTTACAGCTAACTGCCAATGCTATATCTTTCAGTATTAATTTGGTCATAAGTATGCTGTTGAACTTACAGCTAACTGCTAATGCTATATCTTTCAGTATTAATTTGGTCACAAGTATGCTGTTGAGCATACAGCTAACTGCCAATGCTATATCTTTCAGTATTAATTTGGTCACAAGTAGGCTGTTGAACTTACAGCTAACAACCAATGCTATATCTTTCAGTATTTATTTGGTCACAAGTATGCTGTTGAACTTACAGCTAACTTCTCTTTGAACACACAAGGCTTGACTCCTTCCCTGAAGTCCAGGCCATCAGTGGAGTCTATGTCGTCCGCCACATCCGACTTGGAAGCTGTGCCCAGGGAGAGGCTCCGCTGCAGATTGCCGACCGCCAGGTGCGACTTCTGCGCCCTAGCACTCACCCGGGACTGCGGCGCCGAGGACCGCGCTGGGACATCATCCTCACTTTCACTGGAATAGTCACTACGACGATATTTGTAGTGGCGCCGCGGCCTTGAGAAATGTCCCCAGCACTGAACGCTGGTGGGGTGGTGGGTTTCATCATGCACGGCGTCCAGGGGACACAGTAGGTACTGGTGGGCGATGTTCTTATACTGGTTCTGTGTGTAACTGTCATTCCCATTCACAATGTTGGGATAATACTGAGACGCCTGGGACACACTCTCACACAAATCCAGGTCAGATCTTAGGGGGAAGGAACTACATTTCGGGGGGTAGGATATTTCTGGTGGAGGGTCGTTCTCACCGTAGCAGAAGGAATTCGCTGTCTGGAACAACATCATCCGCTGCGGAGGAGGAGATCGAGGGTCATCGCTGTCGGGGTTCGACTGGTGCATGCACAGATGCTTGTCCTGACTTGTGGCCTCATCGCTACTGGGGGAGGTCGACAGGCTCATGTCTTGGAGCCCTTCGCTCAGGCTGCTGCTAGTTCGTCCAATCATGGCAGAAGACCATTCTCGGAGAGGCGAAGGATCAGAGAGGTACCTCATGCATGACACCCTAGGAGTGTTGTCCCCGCCCTCGCCACCGCCCTGCTCCGCAACATCACAGTCACTGCCGGAGTAACAGGGGGAGGCGGGAAGACCAGAGTCCTCCAGGTGCAACACGCGGATGCTGGACGATGGCTCGGCCACGGCTGACTTAAGTCTACTCCCGTCACCTGATTCATCCGAGCGAAGGCTTTTTATGAATGACCTTGTGTAAGAAGTGTCCGGACAAGAAAGCTTGATGCTGTTACTCCTTGATAGCTGCTTCCTAGCAAGAGGTTGTTTGGTTACATTTCCATTTGAACTGTCAAAGTTCACAACATGAATTCCAATACTTGATTGTTGCCCAGAAAGCGGCTCCTCTATGGTAATTCTGTGTTCAAGGCGTTTACCATCACCGTTGCCTTCATTCTGCAAATCACCACAGAAAATGGATGTTTTGTCTACGATCTCGACTAATTCCTCCACACACACATGATTGTTGTTTCTCTCTGTGACATCACTTCCTGTGTCTTCCAAGGCAGCAGCGCCCTCTACAGGTCGCAGATTACCAGTGTCCAAGCACAGGTTCTTGTTGTGGCCTGCATTGTCAACCTCAAGTCGATGTAATCTGTTGATAGGTACGTGATTGTTGACCGGTACGTGATTGTTGATCGGTACGTGATTGTTGACGTTTTGCAGGGCGACCTTGAGGAAGTCTGAGTCTCTCAGCTGTAGCAAGTGGACAGCTGTGTCAAGGTCCGGGTCACAGGACACCAGGTGTCGGCATGGAGCATGGGGTGTCTCCCTCTCAGCCCTGCTGCCTTCCATCAATCCAACACTGAAACAAGAAAAAACAAGACAGTCTCAAGGTTCTGTAACCAGGCAGGGTTTAACCTTGACTTACAAACATGGGGTGCCAGGGGACCCCAATAATTAATATCAAGGGCCCTTGTAGGCAATATGAGGGCCCTTGTAGGCAATATATGGGTCTTTATAGGCAATATGAGGGTCCTTGTAGACAATATGTGGGTCTTTGTAGGCAATATGAGGGTCCTTGTAGGCAATATATGGGTCTTTATAGGCAATATGAGGGCCCATGTAGGCAATACAAGGGTCCTTGTAGACAATATGAGGGCCCTTGTGGGCAATATATGGGTCTTTGTAGGCAATATGAGGGCCCATGTAGGCAATACAAGGGTCCTTGTAGACAATATGTGGGTCTTTGTAGGCAATATGAGGGCCCTTGTAGGCAATATGTGTGTCTTTGTAGGCAATATGAGGGTCCTTGTAGGCAATATGTGGGCCCTTGTAGGCAATATATGGGTCTTTGTAGGCAATATGTGGGTCCTTGTAGGCAATATGTGGGTCTTTGTAGGCAATATGAGGGTCTTTGTAGGCAATATAAGGGTCTTTGTAGGCAATATGTGGGTCTTTATAGGCAATATGAGGGTCTTTGTAGGCAATATGTGGGTCCTTGTAGGCAATATGTGGGTCTTTGTAGGCAATATGAGGGTCTTTGTAGGCAATATGAGGGTCTTTGTAGGCAATATGAAGGCCCTTGTAGGCAATATGAGGGTCTTTGTAGGCAATATGAGAGCCCTTGTAGGCAATATGAGGGTCTTTGTAGGCAATATGAGGGTCTTTGTAGGCAATATGCGGGTCTTTGTAGGCAATATGCGGGTCTTTGTAGGCAATATGAGGGTCTTTGTAGGCAATATGAAGGCCCTTGTAGGCAATATGAGGGTCTTTGTAGGCAATATGAGGGTCTTTGTAGGCAATATGAAGGCCCTTGTAGGCAATATGAGGGTCTTTGTAGGCAATATGAGGGCCCTTGTAGGCAATATGAGGGTCTTTGTAGGCAATATGAGGGTCTTTGTAGGCAATATGCGGGTCTTTGTAGGCAATATGCGGGTCTTTGTAGGCAATATGCGGGTCTTTGTAGGCAATATGAGGGCCCTTGTAGGCAATATGAGGGTCTTTGTAGGCAATATGAGGGTCTTTGTAGGCAATATGCGGGTCCTGTGAAGTAATGAAATGGTGTAGTGTACGGTACATTTAGACAATGACTTTAGAGCCTGGAATGAATCAGTGATCATGGGGACAGTGGTCATGATTGATGGATGAAATGACAGACACCCATAACTGCTCTTGATAAGCTGTACAGCTGCTGTAGGTACAATGAATATTATTGTGTGTCGCAGAATATTCTTTTTCTGTGTCCATTCTCTACATTTGTGAAAACAAGACACACATGTGTGCATCACATAAAACTCTGATCCATGGTATCAAATCAAAAGTTGTTTCTCATATTCTTGTAGCATATTACCAAAGGATATTATGGGACTGTTGGGTAATTGTTACAAGAAATGAATAATTTATCTCAGACACCAATCAAGTTCCATTTCAACAAGTTTCAAATTAAATTCAAGCTAACCATACATTAAGTCGTACATTTGGGTCAAAATGAAAGTTGACCGGTGATGCAAAACTTTGACTGTCAAACTTGTTCTTACATATGTTAAAGAATAGCATCAAACCTGGGCTTGCAACAATCCATCAATCGCTCAACCTTTTTTATTCTCAATACTGAAAGGCCCATAGAACATATACTACCATGTATAAGCAGAGAGGCTGTACACACGAATTACTTTCTAAATGACATGGCCTGATATATGTCCATTGACAGGTTACGATTGTAATTGTATTAACTGATTCACACCGCAGTCAGACACAGTATACAAACTCCCAAGCCGACCAGTCCTTGTGTTAGGCCCTGAATGCCCAGCATCAAGCAGGGTAACAACAAGTACCATCTTTTAACATCTTTTGGCATCACATAGCCAGGGATTCAACCACCAACCTTCCACTCTCTGGTCAGACACACTGTCTACTAGACCACGGAGGCGGTCTCACTGACAGTACAACAGACAGAAAAGGACAACAGACAACAGACGCTGGAGTGTACATTTCGAACAGATCACAATAATAAGTCTTTCAAAACCAGCATTTCATGTGTCTCACAATAGAGCAGTGTTAGAGGCAGAACTTGACATGACTATCATTAGCTGTAGTGGATACAAGCAGTGGTTTCTATTAAACTCCACTAACAGCGTGGCCAATATTCGTCTACACATATAGACAATGCATTGGATCAATTTATACATACAGTTAACAGTTGCTTTAATATTTGGTATAATTTCTGTATAATAATAATAATGTGCTGAATCTTCTGGTGGACCGATCATCAATAAAAGACAATTTTAACAATTATTATTTCTTTGTCTCATCTAGTCTTGTGATTGTGGTCACATCAGTAAACATTGTGTCAGCCTATCATTTGTTTGTTTGTTTGTTGTTTAACGCCGCACTCAGCAATATTCCAGCATTATGACAGCGGTCTGTAAATAATCAAGTCTGAACCATACAATTCAGTGATTGACATCATGAGCATCGATGGGATACGATGACATACATCAACCAAGTCAGCGAGCCTGACCACCCGATCCCATTAGTCACCTCTTATGACATGGGTTCCTGAAAACCTGTTCTACCCCGGATCTTCATAGGTCTCAGATGATTGCACTTGGAATAGCCGTCAGCCTATTAGCTATTCTTCAAGCTGCAGAGCACTGATGGGTGAACCAGACATTGGCAGCAGCATTGGATCCCAGAATCACACAGAGTCACATGACCAGGAGGAAACGAGTATTGAATGGCACAGCCTGAGTTTCACATTGTCACAATCAGGAAACCAACATACTCCTGAAACTAGACTCACACAAGTGCTGCAACACATACTCCAATGCAAAAAACTTTTGCCTCATTCAAATGATTGCTTTGTTTGTTTGCTGTTTAACGCTGCATTCAGCAATATTCCAGCTGTATCACGGCGGTCTGTAAATAATCAGGTCTTGACCAGACAATCTAATGATTGACATCATGAGCATCGATCTTCGCAATATGGATACTATGACATGCAGCAACCAAGTCAGCGAGCCTGACCACCCGATCCCATTAGTCACCTCTTACTACAAGCACAGTCGCCTCTCACAGCTGCTGAATATCTATTCTCTACCAGGATCTTCACGGGTCTCAAATGATTTCACTTGGACCAAACAAACAAGTGACCGATGTCATGAACATCGGTCCATACAATTGGGATACAAGGACATACATCAACCATGTCAGCAGGCTTGACCACCCGATTCCGTTAGTCGCCTCTTACAGCAAGCATGGGTTGACCTATTCTAACACGCTTCTTAACGGGATGTAAGGCTATTGAACCACCATGTTACTGCACTATATATATTGTCCAATACAATATGTTACTATACCTTAATCTTCTTGAACAGGCTTTAGAGACAAACTGTAACTTGAAACACCAATACAATGATACATAGCAGTATATGACAACAGCAAAACATCTGCCAGACAGACTTAGCTGTGTGAGGCTAAATCTCACAACCAGCAGCTCAAGAAAATGAGTGCTCCTGTGAAAAATCAGTCCAAGTAACAACACAAATTACGGAGCCACTATAGATCATGCCTGCCGTTATTCACAGATCCATCGGCTAAGGATAGAGTAAACCCATCCTAAACTTTCCACAACTAACACTGAGGATCGAGGAAAAATGCATAAGTATGTATTTTTCCATACTACATATTTTTTTCACAGATCTCCATCTAGTTTGTATGTTCCTATTCTATTATTGAACCAAAAATAGCCCTGAACATATCATACTATCACACAGTCAGAAGATCCTCAACAATATGACATTTCTATGAAGGTTAGGAACTCTTATCAATAATAGTTCAATCATTTTTTGTTTAAAACAGATTTGAAATTCAATGTAAAAATGTAAAAATTAGTGATTTTAGTTTAACAGTCTGCCTGTACTATTCGGGGGACCGACTTACTTAATAAACATTTTCTGTGGTGGACCAGGCAATACAGGTACGATTCGTGTTACCGATCCATTACATATAAAAACAGTCTTTGCTTTGACACTTAAGCAATAAATGTAATTGTATCTAAGTGTGTGTCAGTCGACATCAGTGAAGTCCGTCATGGTCGTGTTTAATTACATGCATCACCAGCGTTCCATACAACTTGATGCAACTCACCTTCACAAACATGGAGACAACAGGGGTTGTTGCCGGTCAGTTATTAACGGACGGTCATTCTGTGTGTCCTCCCGTAGGCAATACGCACATTTTTACGTCGATCATTACAAATAACAACGTTTCACATATTTCTTTCCACATACGACCTTGACCTTTTCTTTGCGCCCCAGGGTCGCGCGGGGTCAAAAGAATAGGCCATTTTAATTGATAGGTTGATATGAGATATTTGTATGCAACATATACAGCAAACTATGGATCTAAATACGTTTAATGATTAAATATTGCCAACATTTAATGAAATATATATATTAATGTCTATTTGGCTAAGTTATGTCTTTTCTCATGAAGAATGTTATCTATGATAAAGGACGCTCCCACCCCTGAACGGTCAAATCCTAACTTTAGCTTCGCTGACGTCATTTCCGCAGAGGAAGTAAAAATACGGAAGTGTATTGCGATATCGCGACGTTCGAGAACCAGTGGGTAAAATGGAAAAAGGCCTAGAAAAACACATGGATGAAACGTGAGACTCAATTAGACAGATTACATTGACGAGGACACGAATAGGTTTCCTCATCACGATTAACTGCTTTATATATATCTGTGATTAACGTTACTGTTGTTTCGGCGATAGTATGTCGGCAACACCCTGTTCACGCAGGACGCGAACAGGTGACTAGTTACTGACCACTCGCCCTAATCAGCAGAACGTTGTTTTGTTATACCTTGGCCGAGAGCCGCGATAGATTGTGTCATCATAATTCTTTGTCGATTGACATTTAGATTTTTGAGTGATAAGATAGCTCAAGCAAAGACGTATGTACGTCTTTGGCTCAAGATAGTATTGATGATTGATCAGCTTCCTAAACTTGTGTGTGCATCATCAAGTAAGTGGTGCCAGTTTCTAAACATCTTTATCATGTTTGACAGTTGTATGTTTCTGAGTTTGTGCTGCAAGTTGAACTTGGACCGCAGGCACTTCCAATCATACTCACTCACGTTCACGTACATCATTATTGTATCAAGCTCGTCAAAGTGATTGTCCATTCGTGGAGCTCTCTATACTGTTCCTGCCACCAGTCAAGTCACCCCATTGTGATCAGCTTCCTGAGGCAAGAATGTTAACTGACTGCAAAAGTCCGGTTTCAACCCTTGCCGAACTAGGCTGGAATTTCTGGGCTCGATCGTAGCGCCACCAGTGGCTATTACAAGTTATGTCCCTTCTATGTCCCTACTATTGACCAGTCAGATTCCACCTCCCATATCACTGGCATTTGCTTCAAACAAAATGTCGGCGTCCAGTGAAGATGATCAGATTGATAATCAAGATCTATATTGTAATAAAACGGGTCGATCTTTGTTTCTTTGCTAAGTGCATCAAATCATGTGAGCAGCTTGATTAGAAACATGAAAGGATTTGGAAAATATCTGTTGATGCCGAGTTGGCGGTACACATGCTTTAGAAATCCTGCAATCGACCAAACTTTGCACAGCTGTTGACAAACCGGAGGTCCATTATGTTACGCGAGTTTGATTGGACTATGCATAGACTCGTTAGTCCAACCAAAATAAAACTCCATAATTCCAGCCCAATTCGGGAAGGGTGGAAACTGGACTATAATAGTCCGTTAACTCCCTTGACTCAGGAAGATGCCCTGTAATAGGTGGCCTCAACCATGCCTGGAGTTGAACTCGCAACTGACTGACCGTGAGGTTCGTCATGACGCCGAATACTCTCACCCCAGGTAAATATTTTCTTTGTGTGTCCATTTGAATTTATATTTCCACTCTCATGTAATTGGTATTGTAAGAAAATAATTTAGCAGGGTTAAGAGTGTTTGGCGTCACAGCAGTCATCACTTGTTTGTAAACATAACGGTAAGTCGGTTGTGAGTTCAACTCCAAACATGGTTGTGGTCACCTGTCACAGTGGGAAGCTTTGACTGGTGGCAGCGACTGTATAGAGAGCTCCGCAAATGGACTCGCTGTGAGGAGCTTGAGTAGTGTTTGTGTTCCAGCAATGAGTTATCTCCCTTACACCAGTAGAGTTCATCCCACAGGTAGACAGTGAGCCTGTCCTAACACTCATTTGTTATATGCAGAGTTACATGCCTTTGTTGTGCCAGAATCTGAATGACTCTGATTGTTAATTTTGCTCCTGGGTTTCACCAAAATTGGAAAAATGTAGGTTTCATCATGTTTTGTACATTCAGATAATGGCTTTAGTAATTATAGTTTATTATCCCCCACCATGAAGCAGAACTCAAACACCATGAGAGATATAAGTAAAGATAAGAATTTGTGGATAAACAACTTCTTTTTTACAATTAAGAGTGACGTTAAGGTGTAGGTTCTAACACTGTTATCAAGCAAGTGATATACAGAGTGTGGTTGACAAGTATATATACAAGTAGGAAACAATGTTTATACAGTGGAGTAGATATTGTTATACTGGAGTAGAGAAGCCTGTTATGTACAGACAAGGGTAGTGATGACAATCATCGGTGAAGTCTTGGACATAAGCAATGGATGAAGCCAGTGATATAAACAACAGGATTATCATGATTATGGCTGATTGGGGTCCTTGATGAGTTGATGGTACGCCGGAGGTATGTAATAGCCTTGGTCACGGTTGATTGATGTTGATGGCTTCTTGTAGTTTCCTGATCTTAAAGTCTTTGAGGTTGGTGGTGAGGGCTGTGACTCTCTCCCACTGGATGCTGTGGCTTGGGTTGTCACGGATGTGGTCTGATAGAGCTGATTTAGAGTCTTCTTTGGAGACTGAGCTTTGATGTCCTTTTATTCAGGTTTTGAGGGGCCTAGATGTTTCTCCTATGTAAGCTTGTCCACAATTGCATGGAATGTGGTACACTGCTCCTGATGGTTCTAGCTTGTGGCTGGGTGGTGGTTTCCCTGTGGCTTTAATTGTGTTCTGAATGGTATGACTTCTCTTGAAAACTACATCAATGTTGGCCTGTTTCTTTAAGAGTCTCTGGATTTTGTGGCTAACTGTTCCAAAGTAGGGGACGCTGATCACACAGGGTGCAGACCGTTGACGCGGGGATTTCTGAGATTTCCTGGTGATGTTCTGTATCGTCTGTTGTACCAGTTGCTCAGGATAGAGGTTATGCTGTGTAAATACTTGTTTGAGGTGGCTTTGTTCAGTAGTTAGATGTTGCTTCGTGGAACAGATGTTGTGGGCTCGTCTTGCTAGGGTTGAAACAATTCCTTTCTTGACTTGAGGTGGATGGTTGGAGGCATAGTGTATGTATTGATCTGTGTGGTTAGGTTTCCGATAAACAGTGGTCTGGAGTTTGTCGTTATTATCTTTCTGTCGGGTACATCAAGGAGGGGAGCTGTAACATCCCCAATAACTCCCCTCTGCTGGTTCCGCAAAGTTGATGACACCTTTGGCATCCTACATCCCAACAATGACCCCAGAACTCTATTGGACCACCTGAATTCCCCAAACCCACAAATACAGTTCACCATGGAGGAAGAAAGAATGTCATTTCTTTTCCAGGTTTAAGCTGCCTGGTGTGGCTGCAGTGCTGTGCACAGATGGACACGGGCTTTGTCTGGGCGGTGAGTCGACATCAGTACATGTGCACTACACAAACCAGCAGGCCCGTGAAGATCAGGGTCAGAATAGGTCTTCAGCAACCCATGCCTGTCATAAGATGCGATTAACAGGTTTGGGTGGTCAGGCTTGCTGACTTGGTTGATGCGTGTCATCGCATCCCAAATGTGTAGATTTTGCGATACAATGCTTATCATGATACAATACATCAAATTGTAAGAAATGATGAAATGACTGAAATACAACTCTAAATCCTCTTGCTTCAAACATTTATTATTATCTCAAAATCAAAAACTTGTTATCAAGAAAAAACAAGAATAAAACGGTTTTAAATGAAGGGATGGTTATTAAATGTGATAGTTAGTGGGTGCATCCTCTATCACATCATCCTTGTGTTTTGCCATTCTGACAAGCGGCGCTCTGCTACTTCTGCCATTATGAGAGGTAACTCCATCACTTCCTCTTCTATCTGTTTGATTGGCATTCTAGTAAGTAAGAAAACTTACAACTTCATGGATGACAACTTCTGGTTTATTGCATATAGCGATGTTTCGATGTAGATTCTTACACCATCATCAAGCTGGAGTGACAACAACCAAGTGATGAGAGAAGAAATTTGATATCACTTGACTGTTGTCACTCAAGCTTGATAATACATCCAAAAAATACATCGAACATAGCTACAGTTAACTACGGTTATAACAAACTCAAAGGGACCACTGATTTTAGTTCGGTATAAAGTTCGTTATAAGCATATATATACATGTATGAACAGCAAATGGTTGGGACCAAAAAATATGTTCGTTATATCCGTCAGTTCGTTATAAGCGGGTTCGTTATAAACATGTTGGTTATAGACGTAGTTTACTGTATATGCAATCAACCAGAAGTTGTTGTCCATAAGGTTGTATATTTTCTGTGTTCCTGTTGTATTTTTAGTAGGGGTGACTATTGAGGCATTTTTGACTATTGCGATACTATTGCGATAGTTAAAACAACTATTGTGATAGTGGCCCTACTATTGCGATACTATTGCGATAGTTTTCACTTGCAATTATAGCAGGCTTTAGCAGCATATATTTCAGTATTTTGACTGACACCATTAAAATAATTATAACTTTCTGGTACTATTTGTAAAGAAAACAAGAAATGAGAAGAAAACAAGTTCAAATTGACCTCTCAAAAACATTTTAATACAAAATTTCACTTCATGTAACTGGTTACTGCAGTGTTTTATCACCAATGTGAATGAATATGATTGAATGACTAGTATTTGACTATACAAGCTGTCAAACTCTTTCATTGTCACATTGGCATTCACTGAATGACTAAATGCGATTCAACATATCAATTAGGAAACAAAGTTGACAAAAACTGACATGTGGCGTCTGCCATCTTGTCAATGTTGCCTAGCGACGAGTAGCTAAGGGACGTAACTCTAAATCAAGCAGACAAAGTAGTGCAATCCAAACGAAAGCACGACAGAGGTTAGATGATCATAGGAGTTGTTTCTATGTTTTTTAAGAAAGTAAACGTACCAAACAAATTAACTATCGAAACTATCGATAGTTAGACAAACTATCGCCAATAGTATCGATTGTTTCAAGTTGCAATCGATAGTGTACTATCGTGAGACAAGCAATCGCAATCAATCGATAGTTCGATGTATCGTTACACCTCTAATTTTTAGTGTCTCGCGATCTCACAGACTGACAGTATCAATGATATTGTAGGTAATAGTGAATCGCTACAACCCTGATGCTCATGATGTTAATCACTGGATTATCTGGTCCAGACTTGATTATTTACAGACCTCCTTCATACAGCTGGAATATTGCTGAATGCAGCGTTAAACAACAAACAAACAAACCCAACCCTGTGTGTGTCATGTTCAGTGTTTGTGTCAGGTGAACTACATAACTATTGTGGAGTCACGGGTGGCCCAGTCATCTAAGGCGCCGCGATTTGCTTGCAGAATTGCGTCCCTTGGGCACGCCAGAAACCTATGATTGTGGGTTAGAATCCCGGTTCGTCCAGATTATGTTTCGAGGTTTGTCAGCCCCATAACTGTGCTCGTGGGTTTCACCGAAGTGGTAAACGTCTGAGACCATGATATAACTGGAATACTGTTAAAAGCGGCGTAAAACCTAACTCACTCACTCACATAACTTTTGGGTTCTCTTAGCTAGTCCCATGTTTTGCGTTCCAGCTAAGGGCAGTGCACCCAAGCATTCATCAGGGCCCATTGCTACACTGGCGGCCATGGCGGGTGACCTAGGTCCTTCCGGCGCAGCCAGTCCCGTGGTGTGCATCGAGTCTGAAGCAGGGTGAGCTTGGCTATATTAAAGTGCAGGACATCACCATCTCCATTGACAAATGCCGATTGAAGCCGAAACTCTACATGACAGTCCATGTTTTCACGTGGATATTACAATTTGATTTACAGAAAAAGGCAGATAGAAGAGCAGTTTTATTGCCTAGTAACTAGTATTGAAACAGTTTTAGTTTAACCGATGTTTGAACTAAGGTTCACCAATGTTTGAACTAAGCTTGTTCACTACCACTCCAGGGGCGGTCGGGTAGCCTAGTGGTTAAAACGTTCGCTCGTCACGCCGAAGACCCCGGTTCGATTCCCGACATGGGTACATTGTGTGAAGCCCATTTCTGGTGTCCCCCGCCGTGATATTGCTGGAATATTGCTAAAAGCGGCGTAAAACAATACTCACTCACTCACTCACTACCACTCCATCTCTGAAATCAAATTTAACTTGTGTATGGTTTTAGTAAGTGTTTTCCTTTGTCAGTTTTCTTAGCATACCGTAATGCAGCAAATACTGTGAGGAATGTAGTTGTTGAATGTACAGGTCATGTGTTTGATGGTAGGGACGCCTGTTTGATGTTAAGACGTGTTTGATGTATGGGATGCCTGTTTGATGTTAAGACATGTGTTTGATGTTAGGGACGCCTGTTTGATGTTAAGACGTGTTTGATGTATGGGATGTCTGTTTGATGTTAAGACATGTGTTTGATGTTAGGGATGCCTGTTTGATGTTAAGACATGTGTTTGATGTATGGGACGCCTGTTTGATGTTAAGACATGTGTTTGATGTTAGGGATGCCTGTTTGATGTTAAGACACGTGTTTGATGTCAGGGATGCCTGTTTGATGTTAAGACATGTGTTTGATGTATGGGACGCCTGTTTGATGTTAAGACATGTGTTTGATGTCAGGGACGCCTGTTTGATGTTAAGACGTGTTTGATGTCAGGGACGCCTGTTTGATGTTAAGACATGTGTTTGATGTATGGGACGTGTTTGATGTTGAGGACACATGTAGTGAAAGGGATGTGTGTTTGACTAAGGAACATGTTTGATGTTTAGTATTGATATGTATGTGTCTTTCATTGCAGGAGTGTCCTCATCAAGAGCTGTGACAATCTGACAGTTGCGGTATTCAAGGCCACGTGATGTCATGCCGGCACTCTGAACTCAATCATGTTTATTCAACAAATCATTTTGTAATGTCGGCAATGTCAGCTGTCTGTGTATATAGTGCCAGTGAGCCCACATGGTCTCCTGAAATAAACGAATGACCCTCCACTTCCGTGCAATACACTGCTCCTCCACCTACCAGAGCTGTCAGCTCCCGAGTCTGGTTCTCACTGTAGCTCACTTGAACCAACCATTCAGCACCATTCAGCATCACTGTCTGCAGATCCCATCTTCCTGAGGCAAGGGAGTAAACTGACTTTATAAGACTAGTTTCCACCCTTGCCAAACTCTGCTTGAATTATGGAGTTATATTTTGGCTGGACTAACGAGTCTATGCATAGTGCAATCCAAACTGCATAACGAAATCAACATCTAGTTCGTAAACTTAGGTACAGATTTCGGTCGATTGCAGGATTTGCAAAGCATGTGTACAGTCAACTTAGCATCAAAAAATATTTTCCAAATCTTATTATGTTTTAAATCAAGGGGCTCACATGATTTGATGCACTTCACGAAGTAAGACACATTTTATTACAATATAGCTCTTGATTATCGAACAGATCATCTTCACTGGGTGCCACTATTTTGTTTGAAGCAAATGTAAGTGATATGAGAGGTGGAATCTGATTGGTCAGTAGAAGGGACATAGAAGGAACAAAACTCATAATAGCCACTGGTGGGCCACGATCGAACCCAGAAATTCCAGCCTCGTTTGGCAAGGGTGGAAACTGGACTTTTATAGACAACTCTCTTGCCTTGGGAAGATACCAGGTCCAGACGTGCTAGCTTTACTGATTGTAATTAAAAATATTTCACTTATGTAATCAGGTTTTTCACTGAGTTTTTATTGGAAGTAATAGGATCAGCTGTCTAGAGCATGGGAGTGTGAGACATCTGTCTTGAGAGTGTGAGGGAGTGGGAGACATCTGTCTGGTGAGTGTGAGGGAGTGGGAGACATCTGTCTGGTGAGTGTGAGGGAGTGGGAGACATCTGTCTGTTGAGTGTGAGGGAGCGGGAGACATCTGTCTGGAGAGCGTGAGACATCTGTCTGGAGCGTGGAAGGGAGTGTGAGACATCTGTCTGGGGTGTGGGAGGGAGTGTGAGACATCTGTCTGGGGTGTGGGAGGGAGTGTGAGACATCTGTCTGGAGCGTGGGAGGGAGTGTGAGACATCTGTCTGGAGAGCGTGAGACATCTGTCTGGAGCGTGGAAGGGAGTGTGAGACATCTGTCTGGGGTGTGGGAGGGAGTGTGAGACATCTGTCTGGGGTGTGGGAGGGAGTGTGAGACATCTGTCTGGAGCGTGGGAGGGAGTGTGAGACATCTGTCTGGAGCGTGGGAGGGAGCGTGAGACATCTGTCTGGAGCGTGGAAGGGAGTGTGAGACATCTGTCTGGGGTGTGGGAGGGAGTGTGAGACATCTGTCTGGGGTGTGGGAGGGAGTGTGAGACATCTGTCTGGAGCGTGGGAGGGAGTGTGAGACATCTGTCTGGAGAGCGTGAGACATCTGTCTGGAGCGTGGAAGGGAGTGTGAGACATCTGTCTGGGGTGTGGGAGGGAGTGTGAGACATCTGTCTGGGGTGTGGGAGGGAGTGTGAGACATCTGTCTGGAGCGTGGGAGGAAGTGTGAGACATCTGTCTGGAGAGCGTGAGACATCTGTCTGGAGCGTGGAAGGGAGTGTGAGACATCTGTCTGGGGTGTGGGAGGGAGTGTGAGACATCTGTCTGGGGTGTGGGAGGGAGTGTGAGACATCTGTCTGGAGCGTGGGAGGGAGAGTGAGACATCTGTCTGGAGCGTGGGAGGGAGCGTGAGACATCTGTCTGGGGTGTGGGAGGGAGTGTGAGACATCTGTCTTGGGTGTGGGAGGGAGTGTAAGACATCTGTCTGGAGAGCGTGAGACATCTGTCTGGGGTGTGGGAGGGAGTGTGAGACATCTGTCTGGAGCGTGGGAGGGAGTGTGAGACATCTGTCTGGAGAGCGTGAGACATCTGTCTGGAGCGTGGAAGGGAGTGTGAGACATCTGTCTGGGGTGTGGGAGACATCTGTCTTGGACGTAGGAGGGAGAGGGAGACATCTGTCTGGGGCATGGGAGGGAGTGTGAGACATCTGTCTGGGGCATGGGAGGGAGTGTGAGACATCTGTCTGGAGAGCGTGAGACATCTGTCTGGAGCGTGGAAGAGAGTGTGAGACATCTGTCTGGGGTGTGGGACACATCTGTCTTGGGCGTGGGAGACATCTGTCTGGAGTGTGGAAGGGAGTGGGAGATATCTGTCTGGAGAGTGAGACATCTGTAAGGAGTGTGGAAGGGAGTGGGACACATCTGTCTTGGGCGTGGGAGACATCTGTCTGGTGAGTGGGAGGGCTTGGGAGACATCTGTCAGGGGCGTGGGAGGGAATGTAAGACATCTGTCTAGAGATCATCCGCTGTATCATGAAGTACAGATGTTGACTGTCAACACCGGAGTATCGCCCGGAGAAATTGATCGCGCTACAAAGCATGTATAGAACACCCTTAACAGTTTGCATGTATTAAGTACTATACTTTCAATGCCTACAGACAGCATTTGAACAAAATACACAATTAGGCAACATATTTCTGCAGGCATCAAAGTGACAAGGTATTCTGTGTTGTAAGTAAACAAAACGTGGCGGTCATCAAGTATCTCCCCACAGCCATCTTGCGGACATGGTGTCAACTTTAGGTATCCTTCCCTTGGCACTGTTAAGAGTGGGCAGCGTAGGGGAAGAGAGCCTGGAAGATTATCAAGATTAGGAAGACCGTCAAGAAAATGTTGATAAACTACATGATGTGATTATTGAAGACAACTCACCACACAGTACATGCATCATCCAAATACACCTGACCAGTACACCTGACCGCACATGCATCATCCAAATACACCTGACCAGTACACCTGACAGTACACCTGACCAGTACACCTGACCAGTACACCTGACCAGTACACCTGACAGCAGATGCATCATCCAAATACACCTGACCAGTACACCTGACCGCACATGCATCATCCAAATACACCTGACCAGTACACCTGACAGTACATGCATCATCCAAATACACCTGACCAGTACACCTGACAACACATGCATCATCCAAATACACCTGACCAGTACACCTGACAGGCCCATCCGTCAACCAGCTTGCTTTTAACAGGGTTTCAAAGGGTTCATTTGGTTGGTTGGTAGAGTGAATATATATACTGAACAACAAAAGTTCCTGTGACATTGAATAAGATTTAATGCAAAGTTATGGGTTTTTTTACCAAATCTGAAACAATTTCGGTTTTCAACAGATAAAAGCCTAGTGTAAGTGTTCAAATGGTTTCATTTGCCATACTGACTTCAGAAAATGCGTGATTTCATAAAAAAAACATGAACATGCCAAAATGTCAATTTACAAATCAATAGCGTGTGTGTCCACCTCTGGTTGCGATGCAAGCAACACATCTTCGTCTCATGGAATGGACCAGGCGGCGCACAAATTCCTGTGGGATATCTGTCCATATCTGCTGGAGCATCTTTCGAAGTTCCTTGAGCGTCTGTGGAACACGTGGTTGACGTCGAAGGCGCCGATCCATCTCATCCCACATGTGCTCGATTGGTGAGAGATCAGGGGAGCGAGCCGGCCAGGGGATGACATTCACGTTGTTTTGTTTAAGAGAATCCCGAACAAGTCGAGAAATATGAGGCCGGGCGTTGTCATGTTGAAAGGTAGTGCCTGGGCCATGACGACGCAAAAACGGTAGAACAACAGGGCCGATAATCTCGTCGCGGTAACGCTGTCCTTTGAGATTTTCCTCTACCAAACGGGTCCTCTGTCTTGCTGTAATCCCACCCCATGCCATAACGCTGCTGCCCCCGAACCAATCTTCTTCCATGACACAATGATTGACGTAACGTTCACCTCGACGTCGGAGCATGCATAACAAAGCATATGGAATCCCGTAAATGCACATGTTTTTATACCCATTCTTGGGTAGTGAAATGTATGGGGCTTGCAGAAAAGTCATCTTTTGCATGGAATGCATGCTTTTCTGTAGCAGTTGCGTTTTTGTGACTTGATTCCATACATGTACTTCAATATTGAAAACCAAACTTTACTTGTTTGAAAAATACACTAAAATATTGGTGTCACAGGAACTTTTGTTGTTGAGTATGTAGTTGGTAGTGTGGCTTTCTGGTATCAATACAAATTCACCACACACACACAGCCCAGAATATCAAATGGTCGACCTCTTTTGGTCACACCCTTCACAGGACGCCTTGCTTATTCTCTATTTTGACTTGTGTCTTATGTCCCCGTGTTTTATTAAAGACGAACAATTGACTTGCCTTTGCATGTGTTTGTGTGGGGCAGGATACGTTCACCTTTTCGCGAATACCCTTTATCATCACTCTTTGATAGTGATTCATAAACACATGCTCATGATATAGTCTGACTGTTTTTGGCAGAGATTTCTTATGAATGTGGAAAGTGTTTGTAGCCTTTAATTCTGGAACAGGTCTTCAGCAATCCATGCTCGCCGTAAAAAGCGAACGTGTATGTCGTGAGAGGCGACCTACGGGATCGGGTGATCTGACTTGATTGATGCATGTCATCGTATCCCAATTGCGTAGATCGATGGCCATGATGACAATCACTGGATTGTCTGGTCCAGATTCGATTATTTACAAACCGTCGTTATATAGACTCGTTGAGTGCAGCGTTGAAAAACAAACAAATCATAGAGTCGGTACACGTTCAAATCCGACTTCTTGTTATTGTACGGAATTCTCTTTTGTAAGAGGAGCAGATTTGAACCTAGTGAAAACGATCTTGTCTAGGATCTAGCCAACGGATAAAAACGATATCCGTTGGGGTCATATGCGGATAGAGATGCAAATATCAAGGGTCAAGTAGGGACAACTTTCAGTGTTTATAAACAATCATGGTGTCGCCCTTGTCATTCGGCAATCGCGTCAGAATTAGCCATCTGGAATCTGGATAATTGCTATCATTAACAAAAGGACAGTCTACGTAGCTAGGGCATTTTATAACTTTGGGCAACTTTGGAGATATAGGCCTAAATTTCGAAACAATTTTGCGAGGGCACTAGGCCTAGCCAAGCGGGATCAGTAGCCATATCTGTGCTTGTAGACCTCTGCGGCTTGAAACCTTTTCCCAAAATTAGAATAGTTGGATTTTGCCGAAATATGTTTGAATTGTTACCTCGTTTCGTTTTGTCGCTGTGTGTACATCTGATTTCACTTCTAAACGTTATGACAGGACAGGCCGACTGTCAACAACGTCTGAACGTGACCGTGACGTCTCAAAGACTAGGGTTAGAGTAGCTTCCCTTTTACCAAGGGCACTTACTCTAGCGGACAGACCGATGGATTGCCGCGAAATGCAAGTAAAACAATTGTTGTTTTGCGTATATGTTGCTTCACCAGTGTATAAGAAACAGATTTCAGTTGGAACTATAATGGCTACTGTCACTGTCCGACTGACACATCACTTACCCTGTGACGTAATAAATATTAATGCGCGCATTCAAGGAAAACTCGCAATGTTTAGGTAATGTTTGTGAGAGAGGGAAAGCGATTTTCCAGCACAGAATTAAAGAATGACATTATATGATAAAGAGGCTACCACTAAGTAGACACAAGTTATGGATACCAACTCCTTTAATACTGTCAAAAGCGACGTTTCGGTATAGATCCTTATACCATTGTCACAGACTTGCTTGACAACGGTATAAGGATCTATACCGAAACGTCGGTTTTTACAGTATTAAAGAAGTTGTTATCCATAACTTGTGTCTACTTAGCGGGGACAAAGGAGAGGTATGAGGTGGAGGCAGTTAACTCTATGCACGGGAGTCCGTATCTAAAAATAGACGCCCTCGTGCATATTCATGACCATCTCCACACGCGAGCCCGAAGGGCGCCCTTCGGGCTCGCGTGTGGAGATGGTCATGAATATGCACGAGGGCGTCTATTTTTAGATACGGACTCCTGTGCTGTATGCATGGTGATGTCGATGGAGCGTGATTTGCAATTAACAGAGACCAGGGCATCTACCTACCAGGAGGGTGCTCCATTGAGCTTTAATCACAAGTGTTAGTGTTACCATTGTCAGCTTCGTCTTGTCACATCCAGCCCGATCACTCACCGTCATTGGGACCCGTGAAGATTCCGGGGTAGAAGAGGTCTTCAGCAACCCATGCTTGCCGTAAAAGGTGACTATACTTGTCGTAAAAGGCGACTAGCGGGATCGGGTGGTCAGGCTCGCTGACTTGGTTGATGCATGTCATCGATCCCAATTGCGTGGATGGATGCTCATGCTATCAATCACTGGATTGTCTGGTCCAGACTCAATTATTTACAGACCGCCGTCATACAGCTGGATTATTGCTGAGTGCGGCGTTAAACAACAAACCAACCAGCCAACCAAATCACCGTCATTGTAATTTGCTTCTTTCCTGTGAATCTCATTGGCGTCTTCATTATATTATCTTTGTACATTAATCCTACCTTGTGAAAACCTATCAACATGTATATATACATATTAACTCTATGTCCTTACTCAGTATTCACCTGATAAAAAGGCAGTGAGAAGCCATCTTTATCTCATATCAGAAGGTATCAACCCGCTTCGTTTAATCTTTTAAACAGGTAAACAGCAGCTATTAGACAGGGTTATAATCTATGAGAACCGTCTCCACTCTCTGTTTATCTGACATGGGAACCACCTCCACTGACTCCTTATCTAACATCGGGAAAAAAACAGTTTATTCTTTAAAAGGTCAGGAAAGGCAGTTTCGGCTCTTTTCTAGAAATCTAGAATTGATACTGTTTTATTTGGTTAAAACTATACTTTCCAAATTTTGGCCCAGTTATCTACCATTTGTAAATCGTCACTTAGATATATACTCGATGATATAGGATAATCAATAAAAACGAAGTGTCGTCCGCAAATAATTTGATATTACACTTAATATCATCAACTATGTCATATATATATTAATACCAAAAATAATAATTGTCCTAAAACCGACCCTGGATGAGCTCCATCAAGAACTGGTTAAATACCGGACTTGTAGCCATTTATTACAGTACACTGTCTTCTATTGTTGCAGCCACTTCCAAACCATGATGTAAGAGAACCCCTTATTCCACATACTCTCAATTTATGCAATAATCCCTTATTCCACATACTCTCAATTTATGCAATAATCCCTTATTCCACATACTCTCAATTTATGCAATAATCCCTTATGCCAAACTCTATCGAATGCTTTACTTATATTACAAAAGTCTGCTCTAAATTGTTTACTACTTT